CCCTCCGCTCCTACCTGTCGCCACCCCGCTCATCCGCCAGTCGACCGGCAGGTATCTGCCCCGCCAAGTAGCCCCACAGCATGGACGACTGAACCAGGCCAACCTGCGGCGGCACCGTTACACCACATGAGGACACAACCAACAGATAACCACCAACCGCGAACAGATAACCGCCAAGAAAAAAACTGCAAACGCTTTAAGGCGACGGCAAAACATCCTAGGACGGAGGCAGCATGCAGAATGGGAGAACGAAGGTCACGAGAATGAGGTGACAGCTCCAGGGACGGTTTTGAAATTTTTCCATTTCGCCTCCTGGCTTTCTCTTAGCTCTCCTCTCTTCGTCAAGGTGCTTTTTTCCCCGAGCCCAAAGTCAACGAGCGCAGCGTCCTGTGTGTCCTCTCACCTCTGAAGGTGTCAGCGCCAGTGACCCGGCAATCAGCGGCAGCAGCGCCGTGAAGACAGATCGGTGAAAGTTGCACAGCAGCATCGCCACCGCACACACCGCCGACACCACCTGCCATGGCTGTGGGACGACACGGGGAAGTCGAGAAAGGAGAGACACAGGGGGGAACATGGGGAGAGAGGTTAGGAAGAAGGGAAAACATGGCGCCGCATATAGGTATGCCTAGGTATGATGTTGCCTAGCTCCTTGGATTCTTTGGAAGCTGCCCTTGCGGAGGTCTCAGCCACGTACCTGGGAACGATGTGCGGCCGACCCATAGCGGCCGTACTGCCCCATTACCACGGACGTCCGGGAAGTTGTCCGTCCATATCGTCGCGCCGAGGCTCCGTCAACAATGTTAAGGCGCATGGATGTTTCGCGCTTGTGGTTGAGGTTTATGTGCTTAGGTTCCAAGGGTGAAGTCAGAGTCTGGCTGATGGCATTTGAACAAGCTGAAGTGTTCAACCTATCGTAGATGGCTAAAGAAAATTGTTTAGACGGGACATTATTAGTGCATAATACACGCCTTCTTAGTATAGGGTCAAGCGGACAAAAGTGAGAGGTGAGTCTACTGTCGAGTCGGCAACGTGGGCGACTCCGTAGTCCCGCAAGTGCTTTCATTTTTGTAATATAATGCTGTTGCATTGAGGAAGATAGACATCTATTTGCGTGGCCAGTTGTCAGTTGGTCGGTTATTTCGCAGCACATAGCATATCATATCGTGAATTTCAACAAGGGACAGCTAAAGTAACACGGATTCCATTATCCCTAAGGAGACTGTCCTTAGCACGTAGCAATGATCCCCCTTACTTCCAATAAGCTTGAGGCTGTGCCCGACGGTGCCCAAGGGTTTTTCCGTCGGAAGTCCTGGACAATTAGTCTCTTCACATATCCATCTTCAGGCAACAGCTTCCCTTCTCAGACGGTCGATGATTACCGCAAAGGCCCCTATCCTGCTGATCCATCTGTGCTGCATAGATTTTGCTTGGACAACAATAATGCAGGCCTCAACGCAGGCGATACTGACTTGTCAGGCCTAGACATGTACTACACGATTTCCGTTCCGTGTTTGGACAGATTCGCATCAGGTTCGACTTGCCCTTATCGGAAATCGACCTATCCTCCTTGCAAATATCACAAGTTTTGCTGCATTTAACTGATCCACACGCATGCTGCATTCTTGTGCTCTTTACAGCAGGAATAGAAAGAAATGCAATGTATCAAATCCAATTCTCTTATCCGACAGCCGATCAACTCCTGGTTGTATCGATCAACAAATGTCAATCAACATTCCACGTTCTACCTATTCTAACCGCAAGTAACTACGTCCAACTGACTGTAACCGATATCATATCCACAAGACTTAGCAGTACCCAGCCGTTCCCTACTCCAGCAAGCATATCGGCAAACACATCCCACAGACCTATCTGAGGAATTGCAAATAGCTTGCGAATGCAGCCTATTGCGACAGCACACACTAAACGAAAACCCCGCGAAGCTTCGAATTCCGGCTAGGGGTGCGACGTAGCCCGGCGTATAACTACATGGTGCAGTATGCCTCTCTCTCGTTATCGCTGCAGTTAGCAAACTCGCTTTGCGTCCTTCGTATAACATAACCCAGAAACCGACTGCATATTGTCGACTAAGCTAGATCGTCTTTCCTATCATCCTTAGATGTCCTAACCTAGCTACTGTCCCATGAGGAAAGCCACAGGTCGTCAAAGCCTAGGGAGCCCTTTAACTCGCCTGATTCCGCTGTCGCCGGCAGTAGTTGCCTGCAGCAGCTGTATCATGCTCTGTCAAACACAGCTCAGGATACCCAACCTAGGCTCCGCCACCATGCTCTAGCATCTACCACCCGTCCTTGCATCATGCCTCTACCACCGCCCGCCTGCTACCCGCGCCCTATCTATCCATCTACCGCTTTCTGAATAACAATTTACACAACCGCAGCCTCGGCAGGCGGCGGCGCCGTCACTCGCAGCATGTCCGTGACTAGCTCCTTGTTGCTGACGAGCATCCAAGCTGCGTGGTTGGCCAGCAGACTGACTAGCTCGGGGCTGTAGTCCATGCTGAGCAGCTCCACGTACGGGAAGCTCGTGAGGGTGGACTCGTGGGGAAGCAGACCCTGCATCTTGGGCGCCTGCATGTGCATGTGCATGTGCACGTGGGTAATTTTCAACCTGTAAAACACTACTGTGTTGGGTCTGCGGCTGCTGCTGAATTGGTGGCAAATGCGTGCATGCAGCTTTTGGATAAGCTCATGCCCTCTTGAAACAGGGCCCCCTCAAAAGAGGTACAGCTGTTCACCGATGTGTGAAAAATTGCAGGCAGAAGCTTTACGGGCCATGCATTTTACGGTCGTATCTCTAGTTAAATGCTATAACACGTTCTTATTCCCCCATTGGCGACAGCAGCAGGTGCGGCCTGTGAGTGCATGCAGTGCCACTGCCAGCCCCACCTATTAGTAGTTGTCCACCTTCGTATATATCGGTCGGTGCCCAATAAACTAAAGGGCATGGGTTCCCCTTTTTGTCCTAAGGCAGTTACACCGTTACGATACGGTTACACCGTTACGTTACGGTTACACCATTACGGCCACTGGATACGTATCTTGCAAGAAATTCGCACGCACCAGTATCTTTTTGCGTGTAGCTTCCGGCAGCTTCGCCTCCCACTTGGCCATTCGCTCGTTCAGCACCCACATGACACGGACGGTCCAGCCCCCTTTTATTCCCAGATGGCGATTGTCCAGGACCTGGACGCACATACGGACGTACTAGTTATACACGAGTAAGAATACAGGTGCCACTCGCAACTTGGCACATTTTTACGAAGATGCGCTTTCGTATTCGTAGCTAATCCTCCCGACGTACTCGCATCTGCATAGCAGGCCTTCCTTAGCAAAATTTTGCTTTAAAGCTGCTGCGTGAGAGGCAGGTAATTAAGAAACAGTAGGAAAGTATACGGGGGCCAAATGACAAAATTCTCCGAAACGAATGCCTGTTACTACACAATGCCGTTTATTACATACTGTGCATACGGATATACCTCGTAATAATCGGCGTGCACGGGCGCCTCGCCGACGGCCTGTTTCTTCCGCAGCGCCTCGAAAAGCCGCTGGAAGCCCTCCGGCTTGAACACCTGCACATCATTGCGGACACGTGCGTGCCATACCGACACACGTGAACGAGACGAACCAGCAGCCGATGCGGTACTAGGCAGCCAGCAGCGCGATCAAACAAAACCCCAACAAGAACACGAACCCACCTGGCGCTGCCGGTTGGCCTCCGGGTCATCCAGACAGCCGAACAGCTGCATTTGCAGTCATGAGAATTAATGAGGCCAACGGAGTGGGATGAGATGTACAGGGCGGAGATGAGCGGGCACGCAATTACACGATGCAGGAATAGCTACAGAATGATTATCCCTGATGATCCCTAATGATGAGACCGCAGGAGGATGGACAAGATCTTTTTCCGGTACTTGAGGTTTTGGATGGGCCTGTTGCCTTGCCATGCTGCCTTCATGCAGCCCTATCCCTCAACCCCAACAACCCTACACACAACGCGACCCCGCAGCAGCACCACGTGTTGGCCACAGCGTGGTTGACGCCTTATCTGTTGGTGCCCATATGCTGGTGCCCTGTGTACAGCATACTCACGCCAGGCAGGTCCTTGTCGGAGCAAAAAGACTTCAGGTTGTCCAGCAGAGGCACCCTGCAGGGCAACAGATTACCAAGCTGCTGAGGTAACCGCAACGGGGAGAACGCTTGACATTGGCATGAAGGGGCACAAGATATCCTCTCCCTAGTCACCCTAGTCACCCTAGTCACTCGCCAGAAGTTGCTAGTCTACACACAGCAGCCCTCGTATTCTGCACAATTATATTATTAATATCAAGAGCGGCCAAGCGCGGCGAGTCACCCGACAGCAGGAATGGGCAGGTAGAGGGAAGCACGCAATGTATTCCGACGATTGATATGGCTGTTACTATTGGGAATTGTGCAACACTGTTTTCCATCTGTTTTACGTATACTCTCCGCCCAAAAACATCCGGCGAAATACCCTTAAGGGTAAGCTTACCCGTTGCAGTTGAACAGTATGATGTTTGGCAGCTGGCGGCGCAGCAGCGGATAAATGCCGTACAGATCGTATCCGCCGCCATCGCTCAGCAGCACTTCGCTCGTGGACCAATCCTGACACGCAGTAATCAATGGACCCAATCAAAAGAGAAAGACATGCTGGAAGCAAGCGTGCCATTATGGGCATGTACGGCGGAAAGCGGGCTGCTTATGTCCCACCAGTGCACATCATGACCGCATACATCGCCCTCTCGCTCGCTTGCAAAACAGGCAGGCAGGCAGTGCATCGATGCTGGCCATATCGAACCCACCACTACCGCTGCGATACATCACCAGTACAACCGTTATACAACAAAGTGTTACAACCAACCGTAACCGCTGTGCTTGTTCACCCGTGCCTGTCGTAACAGTATGTCCGTGTCGGCATGTGTACGACATGTACGGCATGTACGTAGCTAGCGAACCTGCATATTGAAGTACTGAGCTGACTGAAACCCTAGGGCATCCTTGAGGACGTTGAGCAGGTGTGGCCTCTTCTCCCCGATCACCAGCGACAGGTAGGCGGAGCTAATGCCCATGGCCTCGCCGAGTGATGCTGGGCCCGTCGGTCGCACCTCCGCCTTGACCGCCGCGGTGGACGGCCCGCTGTCAGCAACGGTGTCCTGTAGACCGACGGCCGGGAAGAGAAACAACACGGCAAAGATATTCATTCTATTCTATGTCTGGCGGCTTCTGCGAGGTCATTTCGGTTTATTTTCTTGCGTTTTTGGACAGCCTTTTTGGACAGCCTTAGACTTGGACAGCCTTGGGGCCCCCCAGAGCTTGTATGGGCCCGTTACGCCTTCGGAGAGTAACGCAGCTCCACAAGGTGTAAAACACACGCCATTACTGCTGAATGCACGTGCTCATGCGTGTTTTTACGCACAGCCACACGTAAAATGTGGTATGCCGCTTCGGGCGCCGTAGCTTAATTGGTAAAGCACCACCTTAACCGATGGGAGATGTGGGTTCGAATCCCACCGGCGTCACCATGGGTTGTGAGACTTGTTCGCTGATAATGTATCAGCCTCTGAGGCTCTCCTCAGAGCAACCCGTGGTGTATGTGATGACAAGTCCGTCACCAGAAGGCTAGGCGCCGAGGAGGAGGAGGAATGGATGCACAAGGTCTATGGAGCTGTCCAAGCAAAGTACCTATCAAGAAGCTGCTGTAGCATGGCTAGGCCGAACCTCGCACGAGCCTTAGATGGTGACCTCTACGAGGGGTGCGGAATCCCCCAGCGGGTGAAGCGGGTCGTAGGGGGTTAACTACCCTCCGCCAGGACAAAGCGCAGGGTGCTGTGTAGAGTGCAGTAGTGTAAGGGTAGGGAGGCGGTGCGACATGCACGTGGCCTGAAGTTGTAACAGGAGCACCAGACTCCGGCAGGTTGCGATAACTGGTCGTGTCCCACAGCGACAGTGTGGCGTCCTCACCAACGATAGGTGGAACTCTAGGGTGGAAAAGGGCCCGTAGAGGTGACGCGGTGGGAATATAGCATATAGGACTGACTAGGTGCACAGACCTCAGAGCGTTCCCCCCTTAACACACGCCAGGTTGAGCGGACACCGGTGTAACAATAATAATAATAATAATAATAATAATAATAATAATAATAATAATAATAATAATAATAATAATAATAATAATAATAATAATAATAATAATAATAATAATAATAATAATAATAATAATAATAATAATAATAATAATAATAATAATATGCCGCTTCGTAGTTGGCTCGCGATTGAGTCATACGGAGCCTTTTTATTACACGTGCGTTGAATGCAGCTCCCTTGTGCACGAGGAACAAGGAAAGAAGCCATGTCTGTGTGCACTCAATCCCTTCCCGCCCACCCATCCCTGCATCTAGGTTCAGCCATGTGTGCACACCTTGCGGACCAGCTGCGCGTTCAGACCCAGAGTTTCAGTCCAGCCGGCTCCCAGCTTGGGATGAATGTCGTTGTACGCTACCGGACAGCCGCCGTACAGGGCGGTCCACTCGAAGGGATAGAACCTGGCATCCGCCCTAGGAAGCAAAAGCGCCTGATGGGTGGGGATCGATAATCAAATAAGATGTTCAGGCATCGCCCCATCGCAAAAAATGCAAATGTTGGATCATAAAATGGAGACGTGTATTCATCTGGGCGATTATGTGGTCCTGAAACTTTTCTTGTGTCACTTGTGTGGTTCGAATGAAGTCCTGACCATTCAGACAGTGAACAGCTCGGCCGCCCGCGCCGTACAACCGTACAATCATCCCTTCCATTCCCCCAACTCCCACCTGGCCGATAATAAGGAAGGGTAGGTCCTTGACATTAGCATCGTAGATGTTGTTTCCCCGGCCCACCTTGGATGCCCGCTCTGTCACCTTCTCCGCGATCTGCACGAACAGTTCATGTGCATGTGCATGTGTATCCGCATGTGTATCTGCATGTGTATCCGCATGTGTATCTGCATGTGTATCCGCATGTGTATCTGCATGTGTATCCGCATGTGTATCTGCATGTGTATCCGCATGCGTATCTGCATGTGTATCCGCATGTGTATCTGCATATGCAGGCGCAGGTGCATTACCAAACAAGTATATCCGACTGTGTGGACTAAGATAGCGTGTGCGAGCGGAGATGAAGGCGTTCTTGGTACTGCTGCACACAGCCCACCCCTTCCCATCCCTCCCACCACCCCACCCCCTCCCGCCACCCCACCCTCCCACCACCCCACCCCCTCCCGCCACCCACCTTCGTTCCGGGAACCCGCACGGTGCTCTTGTCTACCTCGCCCAGGCCAAAGGGCCTCAGGAAGGCCTCAGCCATGGCACGCGTCCACTGCCTGGCGGCCTGCGCGGGCGCAGAGATGTGCTGTGTGCCAGGGGGCATAAGTCTGATGGGCAACTGGACGACACAGTCGAGCTGCACTATCCGTGGCACAACATGCTTTGATAGATGCTGCTAACCTGGTGCATTCGCTCGCACAGCACATGATTTTCCTTTTAAACCGGCAATGAGGGACACAGATAATTAAGTACATGACACAGAAGGCAGCGAAGCAGCAGTCACGGCACATGAGCAATAATGTTGGCATCGGGCGGGCGCATGCATGCATGCATGCATGTATGCATGTATGTGTGCGTGTCGCTTGGCGCATGCAGCTACGATTTGCATACCTCAACGTCATCCTTGTGCCGCAGGAAAGTCCTCAGATGATCGTGCTGCAGCAAATCGTCAGTGTCAAAGGCAGATACATAATCGGCATTATCAGCAGCATCAACAGATAGCAGTAGCAAAGGTGCACGCTACGTTAAGAGCCATCAAAAGGAACATGACGTGCTTCAGAGGTGTATGCAGACAGCAGCAGCAGGAAAGCTGGTGGGGTATTGCACGTGCACGCGAGGCCCTACACAAGCACGGACATACATACGCACGCACACAGTAGTGGTGCTCGAGGCATCACAAGCTGACAGGCTCACAAAATAGTATTTTACTGCCAGCCACGAACATAAATTCCCCCCGTGCATGCGCGATTTCGCTGCTATAAACAGGACATATGCCGACATATGTCCATGTAAGTAAGTAGAAAGGAGACCTCACCAGGCGCTCTTGAAAGTGCTCCAAGGGGCTTAGGGCAACCTCGGGAACGAAGGTGAATAATGGCATTGCGTCCGCCACAGCACGTGCATATGACTTGCCCTTGTCGCCCACCTCCGTACGCAATAATAAGGTTCGACCAGCCGGGCGGGAACCGATTACTTTGGGATGTAGCAGGGGGCTCAGGGGTGAATGCTAGGGTTAAGTGCTAGGAGTTGTGCAGCGCGTGGGCCGACCGAAATATTTTTATAAATCCTTACTTCCCGCGCGAAAGTATCAGGAGTATCCAGGGCTTCGCGGAAAGTGAGAACGGCCGTAGCAGGCAAACCATGACGTCATTTCGGCGAAATTTGCAAAATCTGCTTTGCTCCGAAACAGTGTCTGACCCGGTCTGATGCGCTGTTGGAGGTGCACATGGTTGACTCCCACCTTGCCAGCTGGCCCCTCCATGGCTTATGCACCTGCCCCAAACCAAGGTCATATCTTGTGTGGGGTCCTAATATTATTGCGGGTGATACGGCACATGGGAGTACGGCAACCACGACCGCCCTTGGGGCTACTTGAGCTTGGATTTCTGTCGTCCTCGCTCTTTTCCGACCAAGAAACGGAAATTATATGCAGCGAATGCAGCGAGCGGGGTTACCCCCTAGGAGAAGGCTGTGTGTGAACGTACCTTGGCCAGAGCTGTCAGATTGCATTCCTCGGGCGGCAAGTAGGGGCCCAGAAAGGTCGACACATCCGCCTTGTGCTGGAAGCTCAGCGCCGCACCCAGCCACGAAGCACCTGCAGCCGCATCGCCATGCACGAGGGGGGATGCATGAGGTCACGTGTATGGATAGGTGGGCGGATTGGCGGTGAACAAGTAGGAAGGGAGTTCGGTCCGATAAGTCAAAGGACGTCTGTGCATTTGTGCGCATGATTCTGCTGTGAACCTGTGCTTCTGTGCGTCAATATGTATGTCAATGCCTGCGCGTTTGCATAACCTGGGATTCACCTGGTAGATTATATCTTTTGCGGTCGTACTTGTTTCTAATCTAGCTTGTGGCTTCTAGGCCCCTGGACCTCTGGCTTATTTGGTGGGCTCGTTACACCTCTCTGGGTAATGCAACCGAGGTGTAACAGACACACACGTGTGTCACACACACACACATGTACACACATACATCTCCTTCCAGGCCAACCAGCAAGCATTACATCATCTCTTCACCTATCCCACACGTACCCTCGCTTCCAGGTGAACCCCGGCCTGGATGATATATATTTGAAACGAGAACTGTGCATGTGCCTATGTTGATCGCCTACCAGGCCTACTTAGTCAAGTAGGTAGACAGCCAGCTACCTAGCTAGTCAAACCAGCCACTTGGCCGACTGCATTCAACGCGCACACCGTCATATGTGATATGCAGGGATACAATATATGCGTGTGTGTGCTGCTGAGTCCCTGTACGGAGCAGGAACAATACGCCAGCAACCGCAACTTACCGGAGATCACGCTGAGGTAGCGGACTCTGTTCAGCAAGCCCAGGTGCTGCAAGCCGCGCAGCCAGCCAAGGCCCAGAGTGGTGGCTCGGAAGCCGCCGCCGCTGATGCACACGGCAATCGGAGCCTTATCGCCCAGCCCCGGCACGGCGAAGTCAGGGTCGTCAAGCTCTGGGAAGCAGATGGTGCCGTCGGGGCGAGCAGGCCAGGCCTTGACAGATGTAGTATGAGGGTGAGAGAATATGCCGAGCAATGACCTCGCCTCGGCTGCGACACCGGCTGCGACAGTGGAGGCGACGTTTTTCTGATCCCCGTAAGCTTCAGCGGGAACCTTGTCAAGTCCATCAAAAGCCTTGGACAAGCCCACAGAAGCGTCGTGGACAGCAGCGGTAATGGCACTTGTTTCGGTGCCTGAAGCGGTGCTGGCCTTGAGTACTGTCGGTTTGTCCTCCGTAAGGGGGTTGACAGCCGTGGCAACCTGGCAACCGCTGCCATCCGCAGCTGCGCCAGTGGGATTATCGACGGCGTCCATGGTGACTACTTGTGCTCTTCCAAGCTTTAAACACAACACTTTACGCGCAGTTGTGGCTGGCCAAGCTCCTTGTGAGTCTCAGACCGGCGGCAAATGAAGGCATTTTAAAGTGGGAGGCTGTTTTAGTTTCGCTTCCAAAGCTCCAATTGCCACCGACGAACCCTCGGACGCGTACGTGCCTCAATGTGTGTCCGCAGAGGGAACTTCCCAGGGAAGATGTTGATGTGAAGGGGTGGCTGAATGGAGACGTGCCTGCCAGATAGATCGCAACAGCCGCCCGCCATGTAAGCGGTCGGGATCATATGGCGAGCATACAAGCAGAGGGGTAGCTCCTGCTTCGATTGCGGGACCTAGATTGGAAAAGCCACCATGGCCATCACCTCGTTCTGTCAATCCTACCTTGCCGCCAAATCTTTGTATGAGCGAAATGCAAGTTTTTACTTCAGAAAACAAGTAGGAAAAGGACCTAGTTCGGGGCGCTGCCCGTTTATGTTCCGAACAACATGAACGGACCCGCCGAAATACCGTGCACATCAAACTGCCGTTGGACTACAACTCGGAGCTTCTGACCTCCCTTAGCCAGATCCGTCAGCAGCCTTGCTTACAGCTGAAGTGTGGTAAAATCTTGCAAACACTCCCTGACAGAAATCCGCTCGGATTCAGGGGCCGGGTTCAGCACGCACCTTTGCCCCGAGGCACGTTTTCGGCCCGTTCTTCAATTCATGTTACTTACCCAAATCTGCAAAGCATGCTCGCTACATCTGCTCCAGGCGCACCCGCCGTGCAATTTCGCTCTCACATTTATGTGCGGCAGCATGCCGTATCTGGCTCCTTTCACTGCCAGGTGTTGCAGTTGTAAGCTGATCTTGTGCAGGAGAATTTGTGCTGCGCATGTAGAACTCTTTCTCACACCCAGACGCCAAGCAGGTGCACACGACTTGCTTTGCCCTTACTAACTAGGGCTCATCAGGGCCTGGGTGCTGGCGTTAGCTGCAGCTCTAAATCCCTCCATGCTGTCCAAATGAATGGCAACCCAAGGCAATCCTACCACGTGCACATCAAGTAGAAAATTGCCGTGACTAGTTGCCGGAACACAGTGATGCCGCGGAAATGCAGACGAGGTAGGAGCAGTACAACGAAATGGAACAGAGCTGTGCGTGTGTATACGTGTGTGTGTGTGTGTGTGTGTGTGTGTGTGTGTGTGTGTGTGTGTGTGTGTGTGTGTGTGTGTGTGTGTGTGTGTGTGTGTGTGTGTGTGTGTGTGTGTGTGTGTGTGTGTGTGTGTGTGTGTGTGTGTGTGTGTGTGTGTGTGTGTGTGTTACATGCGTGGGGGTGCGTGACCCCATACCTGTAAAACTATCCATACGAGCCGAAGGCCCAAGGTAAACGCGTAAATGCCACGGAGAAAAGGAAACACCGCACTATGAGCCCAGACTAGCGCCCAAAGGTGTGTGCAAGCTGCGTGTATGGCCGGGCTGCGGGTCGCTGCCTTTGAGGCGCTTGACTGCGCCATCGTGCGCTCTTGCAACGGTCGTTGCGTGAGCGCTTGTCCCCACAAGCTCCCCCACAATGTAAGGCCCAAAAATCCCAGCCAGTTTCCCATCTTGCCGTTTGCCCTAAGCTTCCCCGGTTTTGTAACCAGCAACAGCATCAGAGCCGTAAACCGACTGTGGCTATATTTCATAATTAGGAAAAAGCGTCACACACGCCAGCTAGGGATAACAGGGTGTTTCCACTTGGCCGCACACTAACATTAAGTTCAAAAAATCTCACACCTGGCTCAGCGAATCATCCAAGCGTTAAGAAACATTTACGCGCGCACCAACATTAGTCACCAGCGTTTTTTTTTGCGGAATATTCCGAATTCGGAATAAAAAAATGTTTGCGGTCCTGAAAATTAAGAATAAATAATATTCCGACCGTACATTCCTCCAGCCAAAAATGGATTGTTTATGCCAAAGCCGCTAGAATCTTACAGGAGACATACATGTTAAACATATCATAGTACTTTAATGCCATGGATACTGTTAGGAAGGTCACGCCCGAAAGTCAACGAGAAATCGGACTGTTTCTGACCGGAACAAACGTTGCAAAATATTCGGACCCGAAGCTCCCAAAACGTGGAAGGCCATTAAAGGAAATATTAAACTTCACTGAAGCCATTAGCGACGTTAATGAAGGCGGCCTAGAGGTCGTAGGCAATGTGGACGCAACGCTGCAGCCAGCCGACGACAATGACGCCACTCCGGTTGTCAACAACGAGCGGGCCAAACGTCAACGTTCTTCATATGGAGACAATCGCGATGGGCCAGGAAACACGGGCGTCGAGGTCGATGGCAGCAGCGACCCCGGCGCTGCAGCTAAGATTCCTAACCCACACTCCGCGGCGCAAAGACGGCCCGACCACAGACGCAGCGGGTCGTGAAGGGCCAGAGCGACGGCGCGTGGCTGGAGAAGAAGGACAAGCATCCCCTCAAGTGGCAGCTGTACTTCGGAGCTATGTTTACATGGGCGCAGTGCATTACGGCGGATGTGAGTAAGGGGGAGGTGCACGACATGGTGCACTGCGGCCCATGCTCCCTGCACAAAGGGCGCGAGTACGTCATTGAGTGCCGGGGGGAGACCCTTGCATCGCACGATACCTCCGCCGGGCACATGAAGGCCGTCAATGCAGCTCAGCTCCGGGCGGGGGAACTGGCACTGCAGAAGCTAAAGATGCCGAGCCTGGCGCAGCTCTTCACGCCAGGTAAGTCCGAGGCGGAGCAGGCCCGCCTGCAGCAGCTCCACTTCCTCTACTGGCAGCTGGTGCGGGGCCGACGGTGAACGAACTCTATTTGATCAGCAGTCGCCCGTGCAACTGGGGTTCCTGTCAAAGCGTCCAAGTGCGTGCCGCTTCCTGGCGTGCAAGAGACACCTCTATGGATAGATTGTGGTGCACGTGTTGAGACATTCCCCAAACCCTGTGTTTGTACGGACTAAACTAAAATTCATCGGGGGGTTCTGGGGGGGCCCGTACGGTATGGAAACTACAGCCATAATAATCCACATAAATGAAGTAATGAATAGGGACGGTCCCTCTCTCTATTACACCAGGGCACAATCACGATAGACTAAAAAAAACAGGGTGTTCGCAAACTTCCCAGACACAACGCAGGCGGCAGGCCCAGACCCAATTGAAGTGGGTTCCCCCGGCACTTGATTGCTTACAAGAAAATTTGCTTGCAAGAAAATGAATGCAAACAAGCACGTAAGTGAGCGTCAATCGACGCGCCATCGCATCAATCGTCAATTGACGCTCACTAAGGCCGTCATAACACTGTACTAAGTGTTTGCGTCCACGTGTACGTACTGCTGACTTGCTGAGCTGGCTTCAGACCGGTGCTAAGGGGCGCTGTAGTAGCTGCCGTATAGTACGCCACATACACACAATCGTCTATAATACGCGCTAAGGCGCTCTGCCAGCATCTTAAGGGCAATTTTCAGCGGCCAGCTACTACCGGTTCATGCTGTGCTGCAGTGCGGATTTGCAAAAATCCTTGTGCGCCTTGCTTAAGAACTGGTGAGTAGTTAAGCCAGGTTATAATATAATAATTGGGGACCGTTCCAATGTAATATACCAGGGCAAGGCACAATCTATAGACGACAGAAAAACTGTAGACGACGTCCCTAGGCCTTCCTGTGTCTGCGTTCGCGCCATAGATTATCACCCGTTGGCGACCAGCAAATCGCCCCCTCCCGCACACCGCTATGATTGACAACATTAACGGAACCATCGTTCATGCATGCTCAGCCAGAAGAGTGCTTGTTTGGACGCAGAGCCGGGCGGCGGCAGCTTCTGACCAACGAAGACGCTATTAGATAGGGAGGGGAGGTGCCGAAGGAAAAGCTCCTGCTGGCAGCTGCTGAAGCACTTAATGTGAACGGCAGAAAGCAAGGGACAGAATGCCCGAAACATGGCTTCTGGACTGTATACTCAACACTCATAAATGCTGCTGCTTGCGTTCGCACAGAACCAGGGTTAGGATTGAATTCAGCTCGATGCATTCCTTTGTGCCTAAGCCATTAACATGCAGCCAGTGAAGCATGCAAGTATACGAGGTACGCCACGCGTACGTCGACTAGTCTTAGCTTGCCATCGTTACCTTAACGAGCTGTGCGTCTGTAATATTTTTGACCGTCTATAAGCCGCACCCTGGTGTAACGGAAAGAGGCGGTCCCTATCTAATTTTCTTCCGTAGACGACCGAAACTTTTACATGCGTGTGCATGGAGGTTTCAATATTTGGGTAGTTTGTTATAATAGGACGTTTAGGCTGTTTTATGTAGTTTCGACTAAACTTGAAGTACCAGGAAGGCCTGTACTGCATGCCCGCCGGTGATAACGTGAATTGCCATGTGCGCATACGGCGTTGATGTCCTTTGCAAGCTCGTCCGCGCGCACAAGCCTTTTTATGTTTAGATATTCTCGTGTAACAGCTAAGGAATTGCAGCTGCTGACTTAATCGCTGCTGCTCCGCCGCGCGCTGCTGCTGCTGTTCGATCGTGCGTGCCGCAAGCAACGTCTATTGCCGGCTGGTTAGCCAGCCAGCCAGTAGCTCCCAACAGAAAAATGGCAGCCGTGTTTGTTGCCGCGGTTTCACTAGAAGTGATCACCTTCCTCGGATCAGTCGTGGCGTTGGGTGGTATCGCGAAGGTGAGAAGGCCTGTAAGGTTTTTTTCTTCCAAATGGGGAAATCTAATATTGAGTGTGTATCAATATCAATAGATGGCGCCACTTTTATTCTTAAGTAACCACTACGTCGCCTAAGAAACGTCGACTGGGATATCAGAAATAGCTGACTTACCTGCATGTTCTCCTGCTTCAGGGCAATGCGCTTTGCAACGAAGATTCAGGGCATGATTATTCCGAAAAAAAATATTGCGCCAACGTGCTCAGCCCCTACTGGGTAAGTTCCGTAGCATAGGTACCATAGCGCGATAGGCAGGTAGGGCGCGACTTCT